ATAAACTTAAGCCATTTTAGTGGTCTAAAGTGCCCCTTTATTTGGTAGGGCTATGAGTAAATTATAACTTTCATGCTTTATCTCTAGACAGATGTTGAGAAATACTGAATGGATGAAGACCTTTAAGTTACCCCTTCTGTTATGTTTGAAATTGAATTGATATCAGATTTGTGTGTGTGTATGTGCATATGAATGTGTGTGTGTGCATATCTGTATTAGTTTCTATACATGTGTTTGTATAGATATATATGTATAGGTATATAGATATATTACCTTGGATTAATTTCTCATGTTTGCTCCATGCAATATAATTTGTGATTTTGCAGTGAATTGTTTTGACTAATTAGATTTTTCTGAATATGTTAAGAATGTAGAAGGTTAGTTAGAAGTTGATACTTATCAGGTCTATCCAATTTCCTAGAATCTGATTTATGTATGTATCAGGTTTGGACTATTTAAAACTGTTCATATGGGATATGCTTCACTGAAAACTAGTTGCCATGTCTGAAAGAGTCAAAGTTATTTTAACTTAAAAATAATAATATAGAAACCATTTTTGCTATGGAGATATAGCTAAAAATTCATCAATAGATAGAGATAAAACTCAGTGTATAACCATAGTTAGCTCTGAATCAGATTGTGTCTCAGCAGCTGATGACTTTTGTGGGGATAGACATGCTGTGAATATTAGCTTTCCGACATAAGGGCTGCTCCTGCTAAATAGAGTAGCTCAGGAAAAGAAAGGCTAAAGTATTAAACGTGAATGTGGTGAAAGAACTGAGAAGAGAAATCAAATGGTTTGCTTTATTGTGTTTTTTAAATATGTGCATTCTTTTCTTCTTTGTGTATATTAGTATTTTTCTAAAAACTACAAAATACAAGACTTTGATATTTGATTTTGGATGTAAGGAGTGTTCCCTAAACTATTATCTTCCCTGATTCTTTAATATTTTTCTGCTGGTTTTAACAATGTGTATGCTCCTTTCCCATATTTTCATAAATAATTAGTTAATTTTGTGATATTTTTTCTCTTACAAATTAAGGAAGACTTAAGGAAGTCAAACATTACTTTTTTTCTTTTTTGTTTTGGTAGATACCAGTATTCAATACTGTCTATAAGGACAATAGCACTCAAAATCAAACTTTCAGCTGTTTCCTAGGTAACAGAGATACAGCTACAAAACTGTTGCATTGAATGGAAGGAAACAGTGAATGTTTCCATTTTTGTACTATTTTTGAGTTTGAATGAAGTAAACTCTAGGAATATCACTACTTCAGAAAGTGCAAGATACAGAACTGGAGACCTGCACTTAGATTCCATTGTGTTTGTTTTGTCACTTTTAGGTTTCTGCACACCTTCTGTGATTGCACAGACAATGTCAGAAAACTTGTGGAATAAATCATAGTTTTTTTAATTTAGCTTTTTTGTTTGGTTTGTTAGTTAATTAGTAAGCTTGTTTTGAAAAAACTGTTGTGTAGTAGAACTGGTCCTTTCCGTGAATGAAACAAACAGAAAAGCAAATTTTGTGTTTTCATGTTCTCTTATTACTTTCTAGGTATTTTTGAGAAAATAGCTTTTTATTCTTGTAGGAATTCTAGTTCAAAAATGAAAGAAAAAAGTACTAGAAAACTGAATTCAGTTATTAAATTATGTACATGTAGGTTACCCTTTAATGTATGTAGTTAATTGTATAGAATTTAGTAGGCCTTTTTGAAAGTAATATAATTGTAGTATAAACCCAGTCTTTCTCAAATTTGCTAACCATAAATTACTTTTCCTCACTATAAAGGTTGACATACTTAATCCCCATTTACCATTTGTCTGTCATTGAGACAACTATTTCACTACTAATTCTTACTAAATTACAATATAAATAAAGCAACTGAGTTTTCTCTGTGTTGCTACTCCAGCCTGCAGGAGGTCTCCTGTAAATAGAGCCTCATTCTTATAATTTAAATATCAGCTTCACATTTCATCAAATACTGCAGTAAAAGGCAGTCACGACAATTAGATAAGAGAGCATTTTGTTAAGGAAATTGTGCCCTGTGTTCACTAGGAGTCTCTCATTGTTTCCTTGTGATTCCCTTATCTGTCAGTAACATCCGTCCATCATGTTTGTCCTTGAATTCCAGATGTTGGTGTAAAGATTACTTTCAATTATGTAAAAAATGAAAATGTTTTGATGTAGTATAGCCATGGAAACCTGTAACCACAACTGTAATTAGCTAAGATTATAAACTGAAGGTTCATCTCTCCCTGGCTTAAAGTGCATTGTTAGAGTTCATAGTAATATTTAGAAAGTAGTTGTTAGATCAAAATATAAATAATATAGTAGTTCTAACAAGATTACTTTGCTTAATTTGTGAATGAATTTTTTGTACAGGAAGTACCCAAACTTGTGGCAGTAGCAATCTCTCACATTATTTTGTATTAAACAGCATTTATGTTTTATATTAAAAAATGATACAAATATTTTTCTCTTCTGGGAAAGTGTATAAGTACTTTATAAATATGCAATATTTATGTGCGCTTATATGGCTATTATACTAGCTACAGAAGTTTGTGTTATGCAAGGAGTAGTGTACAAAGAAGGAAATGTCGTGGAAGAGTTGTTTTCTGAATTCTGCTCTCTCTGAACAGGTGTTGTGACAGGATACATTAGTTCATTTTTCCTTAAGTTTTAGATGTAAAGTTAATGTCTAAAGTACATTAAAATGTCTTTCCTGGACTGCAACTTCCTTTACAACTTTTTCCCATAAATTCTATTTCTGGGACAACAAAAGTTGTCCAGAATTTATAATTAAATGATCTTCAGTATTCAAATGAACATTAGGATCATTATTGCCTTTGTAGAGATGAGAATCTCTTTTCAATTCTTGATCAATAATTAAAGTGAGAGACATGGTTCTGTGCTTCAAGGAAAAAGATTGTCAGTATGAGTTTCTTTTTTAAACTCGGACATGAGGCAACTTGTCAATGCTACTGTGACAAATCCATGATTTAAGAGATATTATTAAGAAAACTAACTCTTTTACTATATTCTGTATCTCTAAAGAAATGCTCTTTGCAATTTTAAACTTGCAGAATGAGACTGATCATTTAGAGGGGCTAAAATCTGAATGTGGTGGCTAGCTCTGAGCAGAACACTATGAAATAGGATTTGTCTTGTCTTCCCTGCCGTCCCAGCCCTGCCACGAGTGTAGGCAAAATGGTGTTATCATCACCTGCAGCAGAGTGAAGCCAGACAGTCTTTTCAAGGACACCACAGCCAGAAAAGTTATCTAGGGGAGACAAAGATGATACTTGTTTTCTGGCCCAGTCTCCTGGAGTTCACCCAAGTGAATTAGAGTATGTTCAAGTTAAGTGCTCTTTTCCCTCCCCACCACCTGGAGCCTGCATCCACTCAAATGGCAAGGTTTGCTCACTGCAGCTTCAGAATGCCTGAGGAATAAACATGTTTGCCTACTGAGTATTTCTGCAGTAGACCCCTGAAAAGCACTCACGCAGAACTCAACTCTTACAAATTGTATGGCCTCAGTCTTCATGCCCCTGGCAGATGAGGACAAATATGCAAATACTATGCATAGCTTAGGCTGTCAGTTAAATACGACTTGGGTTTGTCTCTTTCTGTTACTTAAATAGCTACATAACAGTTGGTGGCTTTTAGAAAAACCAAAACAAAAAAGGCTAGAGTGGTTTTGATTCCAAAAACCATTTTTTCTTCCATGATTTAATTCCTATCATAAAGCCTTCTCTTCTAGATCCGAGTCTTTCTAGGATAGTGGGAAGCATTTAGGAACCTTTTTCCTCTCTGTCTTTTGTAATGGCTATGAGGATGTTCACAGTGTCACCATAAAGATCCATATATCATTAAATATACCGAAATAATGAATTCCAGTTCCATACCTGTAAATTAGATGTTTCTTAAAAGATCCGCTTGTAAAACAAAACTGCCTACACAGTTTCCATGAGGTAAATACTTGTTTCTCATAAATCTTTGTATCTTCAGAACAGTGACTAAAAAAAAAGATTGCAAAATAGCTTTCTTTGCTAATAAGTATATTACTCTAGTCTTGAATTCACTACTTGAACTTAAGTATTGGCTAACTGCAAATATACATCTGCAACAAATATATGGTATTATGCTGGTACACATTCGCATGTTTCATCTTATAAAAAAACCTTTCCAAATCCTAAGATTATCTTAATAAAAAAAAACCCCAAAACAAACCCTTTTAAACTCTTTCTGTATCCAATTTAAAATATGCAGCAACTTACATAAGAGAACACCAGGAATACATTATTTTGTGCTTTGGTTTAAAATAAGTACTGACTGTTATCACTGTATGCAGGACACTTCTGCAAAATTTTCCACTTCATAGAAGACTTGATAATGAAAAAAGTAAATCAGATCTTGTCAAAGATCCTTTCTCTTCCTTTGGCAATCCCACCTTTTCTTGTTCGAATAGACTTGCTATGTCCAATAAATGAAAAGGTAGGGATAGCTTATGAAGACTCAGGAGTAATTTCTGCTTTCTGAAGTCAAATGTTATTATGAAATATATAGCATATATTTTTGTATCATATTTGCAGGTGTTTTTGCATACATGGCATTTCTACATTTATATGAAAAGTTTTACCAAATGTAAAACTTTAATAAATATGAATTCAGACGCACTTTTCCAGAATGATAAATAAAAAAAGTACAGCGTTGAAAACTGATAAATTTCCTTAGTTTCTGTAAACAGAAAAGCTTGTCTAAGAAAGTGTCTAAAACTGCAACTTGTCTTTGTCTTAATTTGAAGTCCAGACAAGGAAATATTGTGGATCAAACTACTACAGAATTAATTTCTCACCTTTTAAAAGAATTCTGTTTGTAGTGATATAAGAAGTTAATCTCTTTGCTTTTTCAGTTTTTGTGGGTTTTTGCAGTTTACCTTGAAACTTTTAATAAGAAATCAAGTTCCAAATAATCTTATTTTGTGTATTTTCTTTTCAGGGGATAAATGCAAACCTACTGAATACACTGAAGTGAAAAATATGTTACTGGATCTACAAAATCAGAGATACATTGCAGAATCAAAAGATAAATCTGTTGGTGAGAAAATGGTGTTAAAGAAACTTCTTATAGATCAAATGTTCAATTATTTTGATTCAGACAACAATGGACTTGTGGATACTAATGAGTTATCTCAGGTAAGATTTAGTTTTTGTTTCTATTAGCACAGTGACTATTCAGATGTCTCCTTCAGGACATGCACATAGAATATCATGTCTTGGGATACTTTAGAAAATGTGAGTCTCTGAGGTGGAAAACTTCATTTGGGAATTTTTGAATGGCTGAATTATTCAGAAATTCTGTAGTGATTATTTAGAAATTTGAATATAATGCTTTGAAGTATATTACAGTGTGTTAGAACACTCCAGGCTAATGTGACCATGAGTTGTTTTATTATCCACTACATGCTATCATCCAGTTCGACTGTATAGATGTATTGTAGAAGTTGAAAACAATTAAAATAATGAGGTAGATCTCTTCTATAATACTAAAGAAATATTATTGCTTTATCTTAGGGCTAGAGAAGTATAGAAGAAATCTTGCAAAGAGAGTTCATGGTTGTCTCTAACTAGCAAATTTTAACTACTTACAGATCTAAACCAGTAATTGCTGCTCTGGTAGGCATAGCAGCACTTGCTTTAATCTACCTAAAAGGATTGATTCTATTAAGAGTGTTGACGGAGCAAATGTACTTTGATTTACTAGAGGTCTGTGTTTGAGAAACCTAATCATGGCTAAACTGTATTAATGAGTCTAACACTAGGCAGCCGATTAAAATTTTAGGAAAAGTAGGATTTTTTTTAGATGTGACTGTTAATCATTATCCTGTTTTAAGTTGCATGGCAATGTTAAGAAATAGGCTGGAGTTACCATTTCCATACAGATAACTTTTAAAATTATAGTCACAACTCCAAGGACCAGAGGGTGATTGCAAATATAGGTATCATGTGAACTATTAATACACCATTTCAAAAGATTAATTTTAAAATATTTTTCTGTACTTTTCTAAAATAGGTTTTTCCTGTTGCTTTTAGATTCTGTCAGAACTTCAACTTTTAAGGGACTTCGTTGTCGGTATATATCTTAGAAATAATAATTTAGATATAACTATACTATATGAATAGATAATATAGATAGGAATCACGTATGTAGATTTATAAACTGCATTTAATTCTTCTCTATTCAGTTGCTATATGTATACTTTTCCATTTTGTGTGTGTGTTAAACACAGTTTTAAAATAATTTAAAAATCATCCATTATTATGTTTTCAAACTTTCTATATATACTTTTCGTAACATACTTTTTTGCTATAAAGAGGAATTTATAATGGCAGCTGTAAAGTAGTGCTTTTTCACAAGTATGGAAACAAGTCAGCTTTAAACCCCAAATATTTTGGCTTTGTTTTTGCTAAAATTCATTGCAGAAACGTCAAATTATTCAGCCTACAGATTTGTGTAAAGTGAATTCACTGTTGCAAACTGTAGTTTGCTTTGTTATTGTATGGTTTGACACGAGACACAATTAACTCCATGCGGGACCCATGCTGGAACAGTCTGTTCCTGAAGGACTGCACCCTTTGGAAGAGACTGATGCTGGAGCAGTTCATGAGGAACTGCATCCTGCAGGAAGGACTCATGTTGGAGCAGTTCATGGTGGACTGTCTTCTGTGGGAGGGGAAGAGTGAGAGGAGTTTTCCCTCTAAGGAGGAAGGAGTAGAAAAGAGAACATGTTGGAAGTTTCAAAAAATCAATTTGCCACTGTTGGCCAGGTCCATTCCCTCTCCCAGTTTGACCCATTTCTGGTTTTGGAGTGGTTTTGGGATTAGCCTGGAGGCAGAGATCACACTGTCGGGTTACCTGTTTTACGGTAGCATATAGATTCCTAGCTATAATGTCCTGAATTAAGTGTTTATATAGGGCCTCTGCTCCCCAGTGCCTCTTCCTATGCTCCTCCCTTTCTACAGACCATATTAAATGCTAGGTGTGAATACCTTTCCTTCTGGAATGTAGGCCCACCCTTCTTCATTGTATGTCCCTTCCAGATCTGTGATTAACTTCAGATCCTCTTTTTTATGCTTTGGCTTTTTTTATAATTTGGCTTACCTTCAAAGGAAATTTTTCCATCTGGAACTAAAGCTCCTTCCATTTTTACCTCTCTCCTGGCTGCTTCTTTTGCCTCTTTGTCCACCAGCTAATTTCCTTTTTCCAGTTCCAAATTTGCTATTTGATGTGCTCTGATGTGCACGATTGCTATTTTCTTTGGAAGCTGTACTGCCTCTAACAACTTCAGAATTTCTTCTGCATGTCTAATGTTTTTCCCTTGGGTGTTCAGTAGTCCCCTTTCTTTCCAGATTGCTCCATGGCCATGCACAACTCCAAAGGTGTACTTTGAAACTGTATATATGTTCACATTCTTACCTTGGGCCAATTCCAAGGCTCGGGTCAAGGCGATTATTTCCACCTTTTGTGCAGAGGTACTGATGGGCAATGGCTCTGACTCTGTTATCTCACAGCACGTGGTGACAGCATATCCTGTGTGCTTTCTGCCATTCAGGCAGCTGCTTCCATCTGTGAACCAGTTCTCTGCATTTTCCAAAGGAGTATCCTTCAGATCCAAGCGACCTGAATACGTTGCTTCAATGGTTTCCAAGCAATCATGGTGCACTGGCTCCCCTGTGTTTCCACTAAGGAAAGAAACTGGATTGACAGTGTTAGTGACCACAGACCGACTGCAGCCCCCATTCCCTGTCCCCCTGCTCTTATGGGGAGGGAGAATATAGAGAATATTGTCAGTGAAGTTAAGCCACTTGGAGGAAAGGAGTTTTTAATATTTGGTTTTATTTCTCATTTATCTTACTCTTGTCTGATTAGTATTGAATTCAGTTAATTTGTCCCCAGGTTAAGTCTGTTTTACCCATGACAGTAATTGGTGTGTGATCTCTCCCTCACTTTATGTTGGCCCGTGAAACTTTCATTATCCAGTCAGGGTCAACCGTCCATAGGGAGACATTACTGTACTCCTGAAAATGTTCTTGGGATTAGGAGAATTTTTCTCAGTTGTGCTCACAGTCAAAATTTTGAAATCTCTGGAGCTGTCATAAATAATAGCTCCTGTCTGCATTTTAAATGTAATCATATTAGGGCATATGAAAAGCAACATACTTGCTGTAGAAAACAAGGACTCCTGAAGTTAATTTATGTTCATGTGAATATTGAAGTTCAGTTTATAGTGCATCTTAAATTTTACATCTCGTCAATCTTGCTGTGCAATCAGGCCCTTGGATTGCATTTATTATCTCATAGGTCATCATACCTAGTGTAAAATTGAAATGAATCAGTTGGAGATTGGAAATGGTGACAGCAACATTCCAATTTTATTGCTTGATTTTGGATCAGAAGTCATAAGGTTATTGAATTGCCATCTTGATGCAAGAGAAATAAATATTCCTCTCCCAAAAAAAGCAAAATGAGTGTTCTTGTTAAAAAATACTAATTCAAATAGTAAGAAAGGTTTGGGGATTTTTGTTCTGGTTTGGTTTTTTTTGTTTGGGTTTTTGTGGTTTTGTTTTTGGTTGGGTTTTTTTTGTTTTGTTTTTTAAATACTTCAAGTATGATAGCAATATATTAAACATTGGAAGACTATTTTTTTCTATTGTTTGAACAATTCTAGCATCTAGGCATAATATTTTTCATGGCTTTGTAGTCCAATAGAGAATTGCAGCTAAAAAAGAATTTTAACTCCAATACACTCTGTAAATATAATAGGAAAACAGTGGGGCTACATAGCTCCATGCAGGCTAAATGGCCATTATTTTTCCAATATAAATTCTTCTCTGCCTTGCCTGCTTTAATAGCTGAGTCTGACTCATTTAATGTTTTAGTTTCCAAATCCTGTATTGGCAAGTGAGATATGGCTTGATTTTGAAAGGACTTATGAATTTAACCTTTTAGACCATTCTATTTTTAGAAGTAGGTACTAACCAGAGAGAGTATCTATCTTTCCAAACTGCAAACTGTGAAATAGGCAGAATTCTCATCATTTCTGATCAATGTATCTGCAATGTTTGCAGTAAGGTGAGGTTGTTCCTTGAAGGGTTTGGTTTTATTTTAAAGCATTTTGGCACACTTTAAATGAATCAAAAATAATGGAAAATAATTTAATCTTCAGGTTAGCCATGAATGTTCATTTGTTAACAGACTCATTTGTTTATGTATTTTATCTCATGCAAAACCAAACCGGAATGTAATAAAAATTTGTAAATCAAATACCAGTGTTTCTATCACTGTAGACTGCTTGATTACTGTATCTTGTTTTTGCTGTATAGAAGAGGAAAAAGAGCAGAAGTGTTATGGGTAGGCATGGGAATAAAATGTGTTTTTCCAGTTATGAATGCAGTTATTCTACTATGGTGGAGCTGCCATTTTATAAACAGTAAGCCTTTTCTGGTTGCCATCAGTGAAAGATGAATAGGCTCTAAAAATATTTCATCTTGCTCAACAATGAAATTCAAGTTCCTTTTTGATAGAAGAAGTGTGTGAAGTGAAATAATCTATACTTGATTGGACTTAGAGATGCTTTTTAAGATTTATTTCTTACACTATTGAACTAAGAAAGCAAAATTTTACAGAAAAGGGAAGTGACAGCCTGAAAGCAAGTTGAATTATTATTATTATTATTATTATTATTATTAATAATAATAATAATAATAATAATAATAATAATAATAATAATACATATTATTAAATTTTTCCTCTTCCTTTTCCTTTTTCCAATGATCAGATTTTATATTCAAAGAAAGAAGTTAGCATCCTTATTTATGAACTAGTATCTGTATTAATGATAATACTTTTGCAATTTATGCTAGCTGATACTTTATGGGTCTTTTTTGCAGAGGCTCAACTTATATAAATTGCATCTCTCTGTCCACTTTGTTTCTTAAACTGATCAAATTATTTGGTTGGACCTGGGCATTTGAATTTTTACCTTCATGACTTCTGATTTTGCATCTAATCAGTGTTGTTATTAAGAGTTTTTTGGAGGGCTTGGAACTCAGAGAAGGGGTAATGCATCTATCTCCTCTTTGTGTTTTTAATCAACTTTGATTTTAACTACATGTAACTACTGTGTAACTACATGTTACATGGGCAGAAGAAAATTTTGTAAGTTGAGTTGTAGTTCTATTTATTTTCTGCTATTAATTAGGGACATATTATTTAGGTCGCATCATCTTTTTTTATTATAATTTATCTAGGAAAAACTAAATGTGCTATATTCAATTCTAGGTTCAAAATAAAAATAAGAACCCTACATGAAACTTTGAAATTGGGGGAAATTAAGACTCTCTTAGCAATTAGTAGTGAGATAAAGCTTACAAACACTGTGATTGTCACACAAACTATAACATCTTTATCTTTCTTAGGTGGCTTTGGTTTTATCAAGTAGCAACATTCCCCGTTATATTCTTGCAGGCTGTGAAGGAAACAGGAGCAAGCTTCATTTCTTGAGAAGGTTCAAAGACTGGTGCTAACTGGAAATGGACACAAGCTATAATGGTGCAGGATTTTGTTTGCACTCATTGTTTTATCTTGGTTAAGTCCAGAGACACAGGCTCAGAGTGCTGGTGGTTCCAGGTTTAGTTCTGAGATGCAGAATTTTATCCAGCCTATCTATGTGGCCCTAATATCTATTCTGATCTTATACTGTGAGCTAGGCAACTATAGCATTATATCTGCAGACACCTAAGGACACATTTCATCTTATGAGTCAGATTAGGTCTTCCCTCTGCTAAATGTAGAATTGGAAAGGCAGGGAAATGTGCCTCTCATTGGAGTAGCTGGCAGAAAGACATCTCATATCTGAGCAATGTAACTTGATTAGTTTGGGATAGTATTGAAGTAATACCTTCAAATGAAATTGAGCACATCTTTGTAGGCCACTAGGTGTGGGTTTAGCAGTTCAGATATCAGTTTGCTTGGGGACCTCTGCATCCTTCTGTGATGCACAAGTCCTCTATGTATATCAAAGGTATCACACTACTATAGACACCAAATAGAGGATTGTGTTGCTGCAGAACTTGGTGGTAAATTTTAAGACTATTAATTTAACTATATTAATGGAAGCTAAAGCAAGGAACAATTTACCAACCTTTATTATCAATTTGGTTTCATAATTAATCAATTATTTTAATTTATAAAAAGTTATGCTGCTGTGGAAGATGGTGGAACAAGTAATTGAAAACCCCCTTATGCAGTCAGAATTAATTTGGAGCACAGTTCTCACGATGTCTGGTGTTTGATGTACTTGGCATTTTATTAAGCATTGAGTGGCACTGTTGTGGTAAGGTACTTGCTTTTAGGGAAGATGAGTGCACATGAACTGACTGACCATATGTGATTTAAAGGAAGGGTTTTTTTGTAGTTGTATTTATGTAGCATTTTCCTTAGAGAGGTACACAGAGACCATTAATCACAGGCAAGCAAAGAAACACTGACCTATAACACTTCAGGTAAGGTGGATTAATGAAGGATGTATTATGCTATTTGTGGTCTAGTTTCATAACATCTGAAGATTTTTCATTTTGACTATCAGAAATCAGATTAAAAGGAATGAAGCAATCTATTCTGATATGCAATTTGTCATTTTTAATCTGATTACCTTTTTCAATCTTCCAAAATTTGGAGTTGTACTGACTAAGTTTCTGAGAGGCTCTGAACCGAGGTAATACTATGGTGTTTAATAGGAAATAGATAATTGTGTGCTATATCTTTTAGAAATTTAATCTTTTCCAGAAAATGCAAATACTTCCTCCATGTTTCAAAGAGTATTAAATTCTGATGGATAAATTTCATTTTTTGGAAAAGACATATTTAATGTGAAAATGTAGGTAAGTTTCTAAGATTTTATTATTTATGGAGTTTCACAATGAACCATGTACAGTTTTTCTGTATATTTTGCCTTTTACCAGTTTATAATATTGAAAGTAAATGCTTCATTGTTTTTATGCAACTTCAAACTAAAAATTGTGGGCATAAATATTTCAGAACCATCTCTGGTATTAATTTTCAATTTACAAGTTGGAAATAAAATAAACCATGTTTGATTTGTATGGAACAATCATAAAATTGTGCAGACAATCTTAATCAGGCTATAACCTTTATAGTAAGTATTTTGTTTCTAGGTTGTGACTTGCTAAAAATTTTGCCAGTTTTTCTTTTGCCTCTCTAAGAAATCACCATTTAGTTTAACCAAGGAGCAGACTGGGTTTAAAGAATTGGCTGAAGAAACAGATTCCTTGCATTTTACTATTCTCCATGGACAGAAATTAATAGATTAATAGAATTTAAAATTTCAGGCGCATTGTTGGATCATCTGTGAAACACAAGTGTGATTGATTACATGATGGTGTAGAGTCTCATATGGCTTGTAACTTCATATCACAGCTGATCTGCACTTCAGTTTGCTACAGAAACAGATAATTTTTCAAAATCCAGATCCCCACACTCTGAGCTGTATCTCATGTGATTGGATATTAGTCTGCCTCCCCTTCAAAAGGAAAAGCCAACCAACAAACCAAAAGTTCCATGAAGGTTATTTTTTCTTCTGATCACAGAATTGATCTGATCCACAGATCCCATTGGAAAATTGGGAGGTGGCTAGATCCTGCACAAGAGAATTCAGGTTGGAACAGCTCTTACAGCAGGAAATCACAGATTAAGATTAATCATCATATGAAATCACTTCTGTATCTTCTAAAATCTATCCTCACAGACTCACAGTTTGGAGGGTTTATCAACAGTGAGTGTATTTTCCAAAGAATTCCAAAGTATATCACCAGCATAAAATGTCTGTACAAAAAGAAACATTGAATCTTTTATCTGTAATCAAAATTATAAGTTTACTGTAGACAAAAATTAAATAATTTCCAGGATGATAAAATGCACCTGTCTATAGTATCATTATTTGAAATAGCAAAATCATTCTATCCATTTTTTTTAAATTATGATTCTTCTTTTTAAAAATATGTTGCTTTTCATTTATAATTGGTCAGTTTGAACAGATAACAGATTTTAGTTCAAAGAATGAAAGCTGAGAACACTAATTTTAAATTTAAAATGTGGTGTTATAAAGTCAGGTGCTTTGGGGACTTAAAAAAGGTTTTCTTCAACCTTAGGTGTAAAGTTTCATCCTTATTTACAATTGAAGATAGTGAAAGCAAGCATTTAAAACAGTGAAACAATGAGAGGAACAATGCTTCCCATACTGAATGTTCGTGGCCTTGAAATTTCAGTGATTGCTAAAGGTTCCAATACACACAATTACATATTTAGTACTTCCTGTATAACTGTAATGGGTTTAGAGTTACTAATTTTTCCCAGACTACATTTTTGTCCTTTATGTACCAGCTGCAAGATCTACACAATTTCATATTTTCTTAATTCACTTTAATGTGAACGGAATAAAAAGGCTTTTAAAGAATGGGAAGTAGTTAGCAGCAATATTCAGGTAACATAGTATGTATTTTTAATTGATTATAGCAAAAGGTGGTTTTGTAGTGATTTTTCTTATCTTTGTAAATGGTTTTCATACTCTCTAATGTACTAACAAGGTGATTATCCTTTATAATGCTTTTATATTATTATGTAGGAGATGACTTCTGGTAGCATGAAATGTTTGTGTCTTTTCTTTTCCTCTAATGCTCCTGTTATTCCCTATTATTCTTTTAGGTATTTTGTGTTTGCATGAATAATAACTGAATTAAATCCTTTGCAGAACAACTAAAACACAAAAGCCCCCGTATCCCTTGTTTTTCAGAAGATGTTCTCTGTTGATACAAATATAGTAATGATTTTGCAATTATCATAGGAGACTGATAAAGGGTTGGAAGAGTAATTATTTTACCTAGGAATTAACTATAGTTATATTTTTTCTGTGCCTAATATAAAACTGTAAACTGTGCAATATTGCAATGAAAAGTTGCATTAGTTCTGGCTCTTTCAGTTATGTAGTAGTATTTCTAGTATATGCCCCATGTAATATGAAAATTCTAAATCACTCTCAGCATCCAAAAAATTCCTCAGCTGGAATCTAAGTAAATGTCTATGACGTTCACAAACATAAAACAAAATGGTGCATATATTAAAGAACATTTATCTGGGATAAGTTCATCAGAGTTAAAAATCTAACATCTATTAATTTTGATCTATTTACAAATCGTATGTGTCCCCACTGAGAAACAGGAGTCTTTTTAGGTCAGCTACTTATATAACAGGTTTTGATAAGGTAATAGTCTTGTCAAAAGCCTGTAAGAACTTGATACAATTAGTAGGGTAGTAAGAGTTTATATTAGCTATATTTTAAAGTGTCTGCATTTGGTTTCTGAAAACCAAAGAAAAGAAAATGGGAAAAGACATGATCCCATTTCTACTTGGGAAATTAATATTTTAGGTATATTTTAATGTTTCTTAATCACCATTCCTGTACATGTAAAGTAAAATCAGCTTTAAAATTCCCAGTGTCTTTATAGTGCTTCAGTCTATCTTCATTATATATATATATATACATATACATATATATGCTGTGTATATTCAAAAAAACTTTTGTGTCATTTCAGAGAGCCTGTCCTAAAGGTATTAACTTTTAAAAGTGTAATAAATAATGACAAAGTAACTGTAAATCCCTGACTTTACACAGTTGCAGTACATTGCCCCACAGCAACCCTAAAATTATCTATTAAATGATTATTAGAAACAATTAATTATACCAGAGAACTCTAAGAGCTCAAATGTAATTTCATGGTTATAATTTTTTGGTCAGGTAATAAAACGGGATGAGCTTGGCAAGGAACCGTCTGACTGCTCTGTGTTCGATTTGCTGAAATACGATGATTATAATGGTGACAAGCACCTCGCCCTAGAAGAATTCTATAGAGCTTTTCGTAAGTACCAAGACTAGCCTGTTCCTTGAGTCTATTTTCTCTTTCTTGCTTTGTTTTTCTAAATGGTCGTTTTTTTATTTTTGAAGCCTGAAACGTCTGGATGCTGTACTTAAATTAGTGCAATTTAATAGTCATGAAACAGCAGAAAGCATTTTAGCTGAGATAAATGATACCCAGTAGCTTCTAGATTTATGAAAGATTTTGGTAATGGGGAATTCATGGATAATCTTTCTTGATGCCAACATGCATTGATAAGTCTATGTTGTGCTCAAGTGGTAAGTAGTGTGGTCAACACATAATCAACGGAGCCAAAATACCTCCCTGCACCCTTTGTTTATGAGTGCTGAAAAGAGAATTTTTGACAAACCCAGCAACAAATGTGCTACTTCTATTAGGTGGCTTATGGCTTCACAGGACTTGAAGGATGTAAAGGTTTGTGGTGTAGTTTTGCAAGGTATTTGCTCTCTGGATGCCAAAAGGGTCTTAGGACAAATGTATGTAGCGCAAACAAACATCTTTACCAAACAACTGTGTTAGCAGACAAAAGAAAGATGTTAAGAGCTTATATACAGTACATTAAGGGTACTATCCATATATTTTGTTATATCCAGACAAGAACTGATGTTTTTTCAGTTGTATCTACCTCAAATTTAAGATTCAGTCTTGAAATCTGACTTTGGTTTAAAAGTTGTTGCTCCAAAATCAGTAATATGGCAGCACAGAAGATCTTGTCTTAAATTCTTTTTATAATTACTTATTATACATTGACTAGTCCATTAATGTATCTTCATTTTGAGTAATTACAGGCTGTTGCTTTAGTCTTCTTGTAGTTTATTTTTGGGCAGATGAGCACTCAGCCACTTTAGGTTATATCAAATGAAAAAGGGATAAAAAACTGCTTAACATTTTAAAGTTTAAAGTAGTGAATTGATATTAGAAAAAAAAATAGCTGCATGGAAAGCAAGAAGAATAAACATGAAATGAATAATCAAGACAGACTGCCTGAAAGTATCTTAGTTTTGATCATTGAATTATATTTTTATTTCTCTGAGAGTCTTTCAGAAAGTGTGATTTTGTGATGCAGCTTAGCTGAACAAATTACTTACTGCTTCTAAAAATAACTTGATCCTCCTTCCTGAGGTTATCTGACTGCCTTTCTTGCAATGTCCTAACAGTCACAGTCTCTCCTCTGAGTCACTTACTAAGTCAGCAGAAAAATATTCACCCTCCACATCCCACCCCATTCCTGTTGTGTGACCTGAATTGATTAAGTGAAGGGTCAGACCATAACTCATGCAAAAGAAGTGTGAGCACAGCCAAGAAATAAGGTGGAGGAAGAAAATGGGAGATTAGGACACTGTGATGGTGAGATAAATTAATTCATCTGTATTAGCAAAACACTAGGAAATACCTTAATTTCTTTTTTAAGGCTTGTGATACAAATTTGGCTTACAAAAATGTAGAGATTTATAGAGCATCTATCGAAACACACTTATTAACTATGTTTATATGGCTAGATGTACTTCTAGATTGTGATTAAGTACATAGATGTAGAAATTGATGTAGAAGCCTTTATCATATACAGCAATCGAAGAAGGTTAAAGACACGTTTAAAGCATTAGCATGATTTTTGCAAACATTGTATTAATGGAAGCACAACATTCTTCTTCCAAATAAGACTGTGATGTGTCTCTGAGGGACTATTTTGTATAGTTGAAAAACTCCAGACATAAGAATAGCTTTTCATTATATATTTTTAATGGACTTTTGAATAATGAAAATAATTTCCATATGGTATGTTAAGCATTGCCTTAATATGAATGTTAATGAAAACATTAGATTATGTAAGATTAGGAATCATTTAGGTTGCAGCAGAGTAGTGGAGAAGACCCTATTTAAAACTACAAGACTATCTTGGAAGATGATTTCTAGAGTAAGATTCATTCTTCTATGTCATTAGTAAAACTTAAATATATTCATTATATATTGAAAAATAAAACCTAAAAATGAAGATAAAATAAATACTCTTGAAATAAATTTGAGGATCAATTGTAGCTCCATTTCATTTTATCTCAAGAGAGTTTGAATTTAGTCAGTTTAACCTATCTCACCAGCATTAAGAAAAATTGTATAAAGCTATAAAAGTATAGTAAGCTAAGCAAAACCAAAACAAATTGAATGTGGCACCTAGTCACTCGACTAGTGTTCTTATGGCTAAGCAAGATGACACAAAGCTGAAACCAAGCTCTCCACACAAACCGTGCCAACCCAAGGTAAAGCAAATGTGACAGCCCCTGAGGCCTGTGTTGTTTGCCTATGGCAAAGCTTGTGAGATGTTACTAGTAATGCCAAGTCTGGATTTACCAGGATACAGAGAATTAATATAGACACGGCACCAGATCCATGCATGGAAAGGTATACAAGAAGCACTCACAACACATTTTCCACACACTTCCACAAAAAAATATCTCTTCAATTAAGCATCCACCTACAAAATAGTTAAACATTTTAATTTTCTTCAATTAAGTGACATAGGAAGGTTGCAAAGATTTATTCCAAATAGAAATAAACCTGGGTTTTTTTTCCAGGGTTTTCTTTAAGTACTTAATATTTTCAAGTTTACATTCTAATTTATTATACTATAATGATTTATTCTTTTTCTTATTATGTTACATTGTAATTATATGCTGTAGCTTTAAAATTATTGGAAAAGATAATTTTTTACCAGCTTGGACACTTTCCAACATCTAGAAAAAATAGAAAGCAAAACAGGAAAAGTCTTTTTTTCAAATTATTTTCATAACTATCTAATGAGTGAAAGATTATAACTGAGTAATGGTATTTGCAGGGGATTGTCCTCTAAAATTACAGTGTTATTTGTTATTTGGAGACATTTAAAAGACTTAGCCATTAATTTAAATAAAAAAGTGCTTCTAGAATTTTTGACCTCTTGCATGATCTCATCAATTGAACCTGACAGTGTGTTTTTCATGTTTTTTTCATTCCTTTATATCTACCATTTTAATGGAACCTAATCTCAGTTTAATACCTGCTATTCCCAGTGGAATTGCCTCTATCCCTAATTGTAGTGAAGGGGTGGATTTGAGAAATGTCAAGTTCTCATTGAAGTTTGTGCAACTGCTAGAATATGTGTTACCAACTTCTATTCACTCAGAATGGCAGTGAAGAAAATTTGGTTTTGTGATGATGGAGGAATTGATCCTATTCAAAACTTCCACACAGAATTCAAAGGAGTTGTTTGGTTTTAGGTTTTTTTTCCTTCTTCATTTGTGTAACAGAAATAGGAGTCATATGAACAAAAAAGTGCTACTGCAAGGTGCTAAAAGTTGGGCAGGGCGTTAGGGGCAACAGCACCACAGTTTTTATACGTGGCAATACCACAAGGACTCTTTTCAAGCCAATTTGTACCTAGCACTGCTAAAATATAAAATAGCTAATAAAATAAAAAATATCCTTCAAGTCATATTTGAATTTGATCAACATTAAAGAGGTCTCATTTTCTAAAGGTAATTGTCCATCAGCATTCTTTATTAAGCATGGAAGAACTTTTGAGAAAACAATGAGAAGGCTGAAGAAGGTGTGAGAGAAGGCATGAGGGAAATTTGTGTCCTCAGCCTTGGCCTAAAAAGTGGACAGTGATAATCAAGCATACTACTAGTGTGCACTTTTCCAGCTGTGATTTCAAATAGTATTTAAAAATACTTAGGTAAGATTTGGAACACAGATAGGAATAAAAATCATCTTCATTATAGTGTTGAACAAGTGACTCCATTAAATAGTTTCTTTTTAAAGAATTAGGCAATTGCATTTTATTTAAATATGAATTCCTATCTTTAGAATTAATTATCAGTCTTGTTTCATTAGCATTTGCAGGTAGGATTATTTTTCATTGGCATACTTAATTAAAATTTTTCCTCACAAATACCAGCAATTCTATTTTTAACTCCAGCAGTAGAAAAGGAACCACCTTAAAAGATGAAGTGTAGGCTGTTTTAAAGGTATTAATTTTATATCTATACGTACATGCACATACATGCTTGCTTGTATTCTGTGATTTACTTTCAACAGTCTCATTTTATCTGACAAAATGGATACACATTAGACTAGACAGCTAAATGTAAATAACTATGTGCAATGGAATGAAAAAAAAATCCCTTTCCCCCTTCAGAAGGTCAGACGCTGAGGCAGTAACTAACAAAGAAAATGTGTGAGAGGGTGCTCTCAGCCTTGAGCATTTCTGCCGAGCTTCACAGAGTGTTGCAAGCAGATGAAAATGCTTACTGGCTTCTGTAAAGTTTTACCTGTTGGCAAGACAACTGCGGTTTTCTGGCATAGGCAGTTTTCACTCATATCGTGAGGGGTAATTTTTAGTGCTGTAGCATCTATCTCCTAATTATTTGTCTGCTATATTCCAGAACAGTTAACTAGATCAATAGTGTGTGCAGAGAGAGGAACCTGAAAAATTACTTCCTCTAACACAAGTAGGTAAAGCAGAAAGTTTAGCTCCAGCTCGATTTTTGGAGCTTGGGACTGAAGGAATCAGTTGGTTCAGTCTTCCACTGCTTTGACCACATCATGTAAATTTATATTCTAAAATTGATCCAGTTCCATCTTAGTGTTTTGTTTTGCTTTTCTGCAGTCCTTCTTCAGACACTCTCAAGCTAAAGGATTTTTTACCAGCAAATTTTTTTTTAGGCAGGGAAGGTTATATTTAACCTTTTTTGCAGGCAAAATCCTAGGATGAAGGAGCCGAACAAAACCTAGAAGGGGTGTAGAATACAGTGTATATGTTCTATAAAGTAAATCTCAACCAGTGTCTTTCCTTTATTTTTCAAGAGTTTTCTTTCTTTGCTTAGTGTATCCTGTGGTATCATGATAGTTTTTTGTTCCCTGTAAATGTTGTCTCCTTTTGTTTTTCTCCTAGTGTTCTTTTCTAAAATAAACAATCTTACTTGTTTTCCTCCCATATAAAATAAAAT